TGCTGTCAGGAGGAAGGAGCTGATGTCATTGCGAACACATTTTCTCTTCCCTTGAGGCAGCTGCTAAGCAGAGCGGTCTGGCAATGTTTGTGCTTGGTATTCACATCACAGAAAGTTCACGAAAATCTCTTCCAGCATAAGCTCGCATGCGATAACTGCAGGCTCTTTCTTGACTGAATGTTTTTAAGCCTTGATCTTCAAAGATTTAAGTGTATCCATTTCCTGTTTAATATACTCATAGTGGTATTTAACTGAAGATGAAAATGATTTAAGTTATATAAATAGTTCCAGTGACAGGCACAGGTGGAGCTTTGACAATTACATTTGAAATTTAATTTCATTTACGATCTTTGATGTGTCAGCTTATCTTGCTGGCATGTTTCATCAAAGACTATAGATTACACAAGAAGTGTCATTCGTAAAGCTTTGAATGGGGAAAAGTGTAACGGTCAATATGGTGAATGAAGCCTCACTTACAGGAGCCAATCATCGATCGATATAAGCCCCTTTCATACATACAGACCTTTCCGGAAAATTACCTGCAATTTTCTGGAAAGGTATGTATGTGTAAACAGACCCTACTTTAGCCAATCAGAACACTCAGACACATCCACATCCGCGCTGTTTATGAATATAAAAACCTTTAAATATTTTTTCCAGACACATTTAGCTGCTAGATGTTAATCAAATAACGTTTATATGTTTCTTCTTAATGCCAACTGTGTAAATAATTATCGGTAAGCAGTTGTTTGTTTACCTTCAAACTCTGCTTCCTTCATTTGCTTTACGCATCACGTGCCCTCTCGTTAAGCAGCCGGTGAGCGCCAGCACACACACATATAATGTACATCTCGACACGCGAAAGTTTTTCTCTGTATGTTTTCATTGAAGTTGTTCACAATACTCATCCATCCACAGAGTTAGTAATGTAGTCAAATGTTTACAAATACAAACGCAGCCGTTTAGAGGTCCTTTCTGGTCAAGGATGTCAGAATTTACCGGTATTTTGTAATGGTTGTTTCTGGAAAAATTCTGTAATGTCCTTGCCTGTGTGAACACCGCTTTTTTGAATCTACCGGTAAAGTCGCTCTGGAAATTTCCCGGATATTTACCGGTATCACTGTGTGAAAGGGGCTATTGACTGACGATTCTCCAATTTTATGATGGTTTATGTGGTCAACAAACACACTGGAATCTCACTGGAAGCGAATACTTGCTTCACAGACATAAGAAATATATCCCCATAAAGCTTGAAATCTGTACTTTTAAATGAACCAACTATAGTTGAAAACAATTTTTCTGGTTTTGTAATCTGTATAAATTGAACGCCAAGTATACAGTCCGTCCTGTCAAACGCACGTCACATTACAGCAACTACTTAAACACCCACAAACTTGTAAACAAAGAGTCGCTGTCATTTCTGTAGATTTGCCAAGTTGTGAATTACTTCAGAACACCAGTGCGATCAGACGAAGCATTATCTAGAGGATGATAATGTGTAGAACGGCCAGAAATGAGGTTGGTGTCGTGATCTCATTCATTTCGACTGCGCATGGGCAATAGCTTGGGCAACCTGAAAATATGCTGACTTTGTTCTATTCGAACTTTAAGAAATTAAACTCATGAGACGGTTCTTGTTTAATTTTATTGGTGATTCCAAATCTGTAATGTAATCGTGAGCTTGGCTAACAGTTTTGGAGAATTTAATGTTTCCTCATTCAGACAGAATGCCCAAGCATACTGCCCAAGAGCTGTTTCAAAGAGGGTTGGATAGTGAAATGACTTTGCCTTGAAGGACTTTGGTTTTATCCTCAGCATCACAACCTGTGTGTGTGTGTGTCTTCAGTTTTTTTGTTTTGCATTTTTATTATTTGCTAAATTCCCAATAGTCTTGGGACTGTGTTTACTGTGCATCCATAATGGAAAATAAGGCAACTTTGTTTAACTTTATTATTTGAATCAGAAAAGATATAAAGTCTTTCATTATTTTAGGCAATAACTTTGAGAAAGCTAGTACGCAACCAGGGTTTCACTACAATTATGAATATAGTGTTTGCAGGCAGCATTAAAAGCCAGCAATGCAGATAAGAACAAAACAAAAGTATTATAAAATATCTAGTCACTTCAATCTGATTTACTTTCTTAATTTAGCAGACACTTTTCCTAAACGACATACAAACAGTTGCGTTTTTTGTTTTAAACAGTCTCTTCCACAGTTTCAAAGTGTCCATCTGATTAAATGGTCTAATTTTAGTTTGCTTGCGTAAACCAGTTTTTGTTTTAATCCATAGCAACTTCTGATTTCAGATTCATTATTTATGTCCTCAGCTGATTTTTTTCAGTTGCTTCATTAGCCCTGTGAAATGAGAGCAGTGGCCAAAATTAGCTTTCTGTGGACTCAGCTACCCCATCTGCAGCATAACACACACACACGGACATCCCCTCATGATTGCCTAAACTGGCAAAAGCCAAGCCAAACTATACAGCTCCTGCATTCATTTTTCAGTCAAATCTGTTATTGTGTAGAAAATTGCTTTTATCTTTCAAAAAGTTTTTTTACATATATTAATAAATTTGACATGTATGCCACAGTGGCTCAGTGGTTAGCACTTTCGCCTCACAGCAAGAAAGTCACTGGTTCGAGTGCTGGCTAGGTCATTTGGCATTTCTGAGTGGAGTTTGCATGTTCTCCCCGTGTTTGTATGGGTTTCCTTCGGTTGCTCCGGTTAGGAGCAGTCCAAAGACATGCGGGATAGGTGAATTCAATAAGTTAAATTGGCTGTAGTGTATGTGTGTGTGTGTGTTGACGTTTCCCGGTACTGGGTTGCAGCTGGATGGGCATCCGCTGTGTTAAACATATGCTGGATGAGTTTTCGGTTTATTCCGCTGTGGCGACCCCTGATAAATAAAGGGACTAAGCCAAATGAATGAATAAATATATTCATAATTAATGTTTACCACCGGTCTGTCGAGGGTATCTACATTTAATCTACTTTATACTTTATCATTTATTTCACCACCGGTGAAATAATGTTTGTTATCAGTTACTTGGAAGATGTCTCCATAACGTTTGCCCCTAGACATTTGTAGGACATCTGCATAATGTTTGCTTACCAACTTCTGCATACCAGAAGTACAGTCTCATTTTGTCCACTGTATAACAGTCCTAATTTGCCATTTTTATAACAACAGATGAAAAATCCAGTTGCCTGGCCTGTTATCATAAGAACCATTAACATTTTACTAGATCATGATTAACTTTATTGTTTATCTTTATTGTTTGTTACCTTTATGTTTATTTGTGTGATGATCTGTGTCGGCTATTGCTGTGAACCAAATTGCCCCTCGGGGAGAATAAAGAAATTCCATTCCAGTCCAAGAACTGACACCTGACCACTCAGACAAGGGAAAACTAATTTAAAAACCAAAAACCATCCCATACTCTCTATTTTGAAAGTAATGGGATAATGAAATGCCTTTTAATCAAATACAAATTGCAAAAACATAGGTTTTAATTTATTGTAAATTTAAGTTAATATTACAAATTAATAACTTAAAATTATTGTAAAAAGAAAATATGAGCCTATTTAAAGATGAAATCACAATTTTTGTCAATTTCAACTTACAATTTTCAGTGGACAATAAAATATAACTGTAATAGATGTAACAAAATCCTAAATCATAACACATTCTAAATGTGTTGTTCAGTTTTTCTCAACAGCTGACAACCAGACATGCAGAAAAAACACAGGCCTTAACCCAATAGAAAATTTGTAAACTGACATCAAAAATGGTGTTTCTAAGGCAAAAACAAAAATACAGAAGAATTGTGGTGTTTAGTAATCGTCCTGGAATGGCAGACCTGTTCAAAGGTGCCAGAAGTTGGTCAACTTGATGCAGCACAGATGTGAAGCAGATCTCAAAAACCATGGTTATACAAGTAAATATTAGTTCAGTGATTCACAAGAAAGCTAAATCTTTAAGCATTTTTAAGCTAATACAGTAAATATTTGTATTCTAACAGAAAAATGCAGACACTGCAATGTAGCATCTTTTAACAGCTTAATATTTGTTTTTCTTCACTTTCTGTAAAATGATACATTTAACCATTTATTTCTTCATGTTTTAATTTAGAATGCAGTTTATTGTTTCCAAAACATTTGCATGTATTAAAATAAAGATTATTATAAGGATTTTAAACTTTGCTCACTTTTTACAACACACTATTATTTTGAGTACAGCTGTGTGTATTTTATATTCTTTTCGGTTGCGAACAAAGCAATCGAATCAGAAAAGCTGGAGAAATAACATGCAACACACATAAACAAAACATTTTAAGTTGTTAAACGTATTATACTATTGTTGTTTATTAATTGGGCCAATAGTTTTTTTTTTCTTATCTGACTAGCATATTTACTGTTAAAATGACCTGTAGAATGCTCCCTATAGGGCCTCGCAATGTTTTATGAATGTCCCATGAATATCCATGGCCAATGCTACATGAGCATCTGTTGTACATCCTCTGCACATAACGCCAATGTCCAGCAAACACCCGGGGTACATTCTCCAACAGACGTCCCAGTAATGTCCATGTTGGGTACATCGCACCAATAAACTCACAGAGGCAATTAGGGGGATGTCCTATGGATCTTTTTGTTATCTGTGTGACAGTACGCTTCTCAGAATTTGGAGAAGATTTCAGTAACAGCTTGTTTTTATGTTTTTCTGAAAGTCATTCCTTAATTTGTAGCATTATTTTAGTGCTAACCTACTGATATAGTTTTTAAATTTGAGTGTAATATATGAAGTGCTCCTTTCTCTTTTATCTGTCTTTGTAATTGCTAAATGTACTGTACATGTGCTCTCTGTGCCTGTAACATCATAGTGGCATCTTACACTAGGTCTCTATGTCACCATGTAGAGTTTGTGCTTAAGTGTTGAAATGCCATGAACAGCTCTCGTCCGCACTCACTAACTTCACTTCGCTTTTATTTTTACAGGCGTTGTGTGGCTGCACAGTGAACATTCCCACTATTGACAACCGAGCCATTACATTGCCCTGCAATGACATCATCAAACCAGGCACAATCAAGAGACTGCGTGGAGAAGGCCTGCCTTTCCCAAAAAACCCATCCCAACGTGGGGATTTAATAGTGGAGTTCCAGGTGCGCTTCCCAGACAGAATCCCACCCCAGTCCAGAGAGATCATCAAACAGCACCTTCCACAGTCTTAGAGGGAGCTCAGCGGAGTCACTGGATGCTTACATTTCTCACACATACACATTTCTCCCAAAAGTACAGATGCTGAATTCAAAGAGGGACAAATATGGACAAGAGGGTCATTTGAGATTTTATTATACATTCACTTTTAAGTTATTTTCAATATCTCAAAACACATGAAATGCTGTTTTCTTTTTAGAAGTATTGAAAAATTTTGTTACCCCAAGGTCTATGGCTTTCAACCTGGACTTGACTTTCAGAAATTTTCCGTGGTCACTTTACAATAAGGTTCCATTATTTAACGTTAATGTATTTACTAACAAGAACTAAGAATAAATGCTTTTAGAGCATTTATTAATTGCAGGTCAACATTTACTAATTCAGAATTAAAACTCAAAGTTGTGCTTGTTACGTTGACGTACTGTATTTCACAGCTACTTGCCACAAAACATTGTTCTGAGCTGTTATTGTTTATTCATTCTTTAAATGTAAAGTTGACAAAGACAAAAACAGGTTAATTGAGCTGATGGAGCATTTACTAACCTCCTCATTACTCAGTTACAAAATGGGGCCAAACAGTCAAAAACGCAAAAGATGACAGAAACGAAACCGGCTGAATGGTGCACAGACTTACATATTATTCATTTACAAGATGTGGCTAAACAGTGGCATAATAGACAGAAGTTCCCAGTCAAGGCTGTGTTATTCAGTGGTTGTTATCTTGTAATAACATATCTTGAAATGTCATAAGTGACCAATCAGAATGGAGTATTCCAAAGTCATGTAATAAGAGTCAATGCACTGTGAGTTAACAAGAACCATCAATGCACGACTGCATTTTTATTACCTAACATTAACAAAGATGAATAAATACTGTAATAAATGCATTGTTCGTGTTAGAAAATAGTTTAACTAACATTAACTAAAGGATCCTTATTGTAAATGGTTTCCAACTGGTTTTATCCTCTCTCTCAACATAATGAAGACAAAAGGTAACAAGAAAGCAAAATGTTTTTTAAATTAAATGTTTTTTAGGTGTTTTTTAAAAGGAAGGGAAGTTGAATTTTTTGCTGTGATGATGAAGATGCGGATGATTTAGATTTGTTCTGGTTTTGAATCTGTGTTATTTTGTAGGAGGTTAAATTTCACTCCATTTTGAGAATCGATAAGCTATAATGTTGAATGTTGATGTATGTAAGGCGACAAGGATTTTTAGGATTCCTTAAAACCAGCAAAGCTATTTGGAAACAATAGTTGATATATTTCCTCTCCCTGACCCTGTCTCAACAGTCTACTGGTGCTTTCTGGTTGTTTTTGGAGTACCGGGTGCTTGTATTTATAGTAAACCTTTGATGGTGGGATTTTTAGGTCACAAAAAATGAGTGCCTTAATGTGGCCCCATCTAGCTCTTTTATCTCATTAGCAATTACATAAGACCTGGGTATTAATAAAACAGTAATCTGGATTTTCTTTGTCATTTCAATACCCCAAGATAATATATTGCAGTAATCATCTTTAAAGGGACATTTCACTCAAAACTGATCTAATCATGTTCTCGATTATCATGGGCCCAATCATACACCCGGCGCAAGATGTGTTTACCCCGACGTGTTGAAATTTTCAGACCAACACAACCTTAGTTTTTTTGTTTTCTGCCACGTTGCTTAAATAGCAAACCCATTTGTGCCACTTCGTGGACTGTTTCGATCTGGAAAGAGGTGTGTTAAGGCGCATTGCTATTTTGAGGAACTAAAAATAGACAGCTGAAAGCAGGTGTAAAGTCCAACGCAGAACGTGTCTGTTGTGCGCCTTAAACACTTACACATTGCTTAAGACATGCAGGATGTACAGAAATACAGAAATATATTTACAAATGAAAAAGAGTTAAAGGAATAAATTATAAAACTATTATTTTCTACATAAATAAAAAACACTACCTCCTCCACTACCAGTTTTCCATTCCTGGCAACTTGCTTATGTATAATGATATTTTTATTATTAGAATTATATATTATATTTATATTTGTATCTAATTTAATTTGGACCATATGGGGTATAGCATGTGTTTTAGGATATAACTCAGTTTTTTTAGCACACTTCGTTATTATTGTTCATTTCTTCGTTTGCTGGAAATTAGAACTGAATTTAGAAATAGTTTTGAAACAAATCTTTGTGCTTAATAAACAAAATTATTTATGTAGGCTAATGGATGTCTGTGCTTATTACATCATGTCCTTATCCTTGACAAAGAGAAAGTGAAAGCAAAGACAGAATAAGCAAAGCCCTGTTAGACCATATTTGTGGGCACAGAGTGTTTTTTTCTGTCCTTAAAATAGCAAAAGTGGATTTGGACATGCCCTTATTGCTTTTGCGCCATGTGCTTTAGACTGTGTGCCTAGATCATTAAAATAGAGCCCCATAACTTATGATGTTAGTTTGGAACATGAAGAGTTAACACCAACAAAATGGTCCTGCCGGTTTTTCCAGATAATTATTTTTATACAAGTATCTGATAAAGAAAAAAAATAAATTGACCTACACTATCTTTGTCGTGTACACAACATTTTACAGTTGGGTCAGAAAAATCATCCTTGCTAGCAGTTTCTTTTCTTTTTAACTATCTGAAAAGAGTTTCAGAGAATTACAAAATAATTTTACGAAATAACTTGTGTTCCTTAGAAAAAGTAAAATCTTATGTGATTTGGGCAACATAACGGCAGAAGTTACTGCATTATATTAAATTATTCTTGGATATTGAAGAGAAGTTTATTTATAAACTAATTTTGAGAGGATCACATGTTTATGATTGCCCACAGCCGGTCCCGCATAAGCTAACACATGAGTCCATACCTGCCAACACGCCTGTTTTTCCTGAAAGTCTCCCGTATTTCAGACCCATCTCTCATGTTTGTCTGTCTCCTGGAATTTGACAAATTTTGGCAAGCATGGCAAACACGGTTTATAATCAATCATCAGCTAAGTGTGAACTCTTAAATGACAAAAAATATCCAGATTTGTCTTTTTAATATACACGCCACCGGCTCATGCTTTAAAAGAGAACATCCTCCAACATGGAGCATGACCATTTCAGATTATTAAACACCATTTTTCTTTATATAAGCGAAAGAAAGAGAACGAGAGCATATGTTTCTTAATGTTTATTGAAGTGTTGGAAGATTGAAGCTAAAAACTGATTTATTTATTTATTTTTTAAATGCAGATCTTTGTTGTTCAGTAAGCACGTCTAGTTATTTCAAGCTTTTTTATGAGGAAAATTATTTGTTTATCAAACAGCTTTTTACTACAACAACAGTTTCACTATACTGTATTTTACACTTACAATGTGTTCAACGTTGAATAATTTGCAATAGTTCTTTGTATTTTAGTTTAGATTTCTACAAAGCGCCTCCCTTTCAATACAAAATACTGTCTTTCTACAGTAATGGGAGCCTTTGAGTAACAGTATTTTCTATATAAACAACACTTTTCACTTATCCAGGGTTACATTCAGTATATCTCTCAGACATAACTATGGTGTTTATTTAATCATTACTGTATTTGGTGATGAACTGAAAGTATGAAGCAACACAACCTTTTTAATGACTGGTGTCGAATTGTTTTATGATGTGCTGATCTATGTTAGGATTGTTATAGCATTGTACTCATGAGACTTCTGGACGGCCAGACACTTGTGTTGTGAATTTGAATGTCCCATGTTTATTACTTCTGTCCTTATGTATGAGACAGTATGAAATCCAGCTCCCTTTGCACACTGGGAGGATAAACCGATGCTGAAAACAAACGCTGTGTTAGTTTCCTGTGACTTAGATTGGGTCTAGATTGGTGTCTGTTTAACTGTTTATATTTTTTAATGAATGATTGACAGGAAACAAGAAATAAACCAAAATGAGGATTTACAGAGTTTGAGACTAAATGAAATGTGGATAGTAGACTGAAGGCTGTCCGAACAGCATGACAAAGCTGAATTTATTACAAATAAAACTCAAAAACTCAATACAAATTTTAAATGAAAACATTGAGAACTAATCTGAATGTACTTTTCCGTAAGTTACTAGAGATGCAGTTAGACTGAAACAACCAACAAAGTTTGCATGTCTCAAACATCATATAAACATTGGATTAAGATTGAAATTCTAGTTATTTTTGAAGTTATTAACTTGGACATACTACATAATAATCCTATAATATGTAACAAAGCACAAAGTTATCTTCAAATGGAGTTACTTTCTCTAGTTTCTGTACACCAGCAAAAGTTTCCATATAGTTGAATTTTCTTCAAGGAACATAAATGTCACAATATGCCAAATTTAAACAATTCTAGACAAAAGAGACATAAACTGATAAGAGCGGTACATTGTCACCATGCCCAAGTCATGGTGAGACATGCAGATTTATGTATGTTTTTGTGTGCTTTAAACATTGAGGTTGTAAATAGCTGACAGTTGATAGAGAAATTAATTGGTTCAACACTCATACAATACATCGCCAGATAATCGTCTGACAGTCATGTCTATGTATACACGCAGTTGAAGTCAGGATTATTAGCCCCCTTAGAATTTTTTTATTCTTTTAAAAATATTTTTCAAATGATGTTTAACAGAGCAAGGAAATTTTCACAGTATGTCTGATAATATTTTATCTGGAGAAAGTCTTATTTGTTTTATTTCGACTTGAATAAAAGCAGTTTTAAATTTTTTTATTTCATTTTAGGGACAAAATTATTAGCCCCTTTAAGCTATATTTTTACAATAACTTGCCTAATTACCCTAACCTGCCTAGTTAACCTAATTAACCTATTAAGCCTTTAAATGTCACTTTAAGCTGTATAGAAGTGTCTTAAAAAATATCTAGTCAAATATTATTTAGTGTCATCATGGCAAAGATAAAATAAATTAGTTATTAGAAATTAGTTATTATAATTACAATAAATTAGCTATTATTTTTAGAAATGTGTTGAAAAAAATCTTATCTCCGTTAAACAGAAATTTGGTTGAAAACAAACCAGCAGTCTAATAATTCAGATTTCAACTAAATAAGGGGAAAATATTAAATACAATATTTACAATTTAAATTAATAAGAATGTAATTGTTGAAAATTTGTAATTTGTAAAAATTTTTGCAATAATTTGCTTGAATTTAATTGTATTATCTTTCTATTTCTAAATATGTTCAGTGACTAAAACATAATTTTAATAAATATTACTGTTTAATAAATCTGTTTAATAATTCAAAGATAACACAATTAAACACATCATGCTTTTAAAAAATTACGTTTTTTATTTTTATCCTTAAGGGAAAACAAAACAACAAAGAAAACCTTCATTTCATTTAAATTTGTTTGATAATCTAAAACACCCCAGCAGACACACAAACGTCATAAGACATTGATATTGGGTTAGTTTTAGGTTATCAGCAGTTAAGGACAGTGTTATTTTGACCATAGTGACCAAAATCCATTGTTGAGCCAACATCTTAAATCAACGTCATATTGACCTCAAATACTGACATTTATTCGTCAGGTATTGCAACCTAAATCCAACGTCTGATAATCATCTTAGTGGTAACATTAACACAATGTCAAGCTGGAACATAATTAGACGTTGGTATTTTGTTGTTTATAGGTTGCGTTGGTAAGTAACTAAAATGCAACATCTGTCCAACATTTGATATTGACGGCAGCCTGACATTGGGTTCTCATTTTCATTTTCAAACAAAATGCAACATCTTATGAAGTTGGGGTACAACATCAATGAGACGTCATATTGACGTCCTGTGCCTGCAGGGAGAGTGTGGCAAACATCCAAACAAAAAAAAGGAATCAGTGAAGGGGAATACTACAGTACAGCTATATACAGAGCTCAGCATAATATAGTACAGCCCATTTTGAAAATGAAGATTTTTTTCCATTTCTCAGTGAATATAAGCAATGTATTTTAATGAATTTAAACAAAACAGCTTTATTAAACAGATATATTTATTCAAATAATATTTTTGTCACCAAACATATTTAGAAATAGAAAGATAATACAATTCAAGTAAAATATTACAAAAAATAATTACAACCTACAAAATTTCAACTCAATTTTTCCAATTATTTGCTTCCCTTGATTTTTCCTCTGTTTTAAATTTGTATTTAATATTTTTCTATAACATATAAATTTGGGAGTACTGGTTTTTGGACCGTTATCGTGAGTTATTTTGTTAGATAAGCTCCAGATTTGCTGAGCACTGTAAATAAAGAGATAATCAACAAATTCATAAAGTCAATTCAAATCAATAAACAAGCGTCTGAAGCATACTGAGTAATGAGCAGTAAGGATGCCACCTTACAAGTCCCCTTTAAAATAATCATTAGAAAAGTTTCTTGGGGCTAAAACTTTAGCTTAAATCTATTTTAAGTATATTATGTAAAGTCCATGTGACATGAATGGAGACTGTTTTCATTATGCAAATATATCTACCAAATGTCTCACGCCACATCACTTTACTCAGAAATGATTTTCATCCCTCCTCTGAAATACACTGCTGAGTCACCAATTGACTCAATCAACTTCCTGTGAGTTATTCAAACAGCATGATTTCCCTAGCTAAAATAAGTGAAGGAGTTAATTCAATTATTTCTTCATGAAGTAGCAGTATGAACGTCCTGTTGATGGATGTACTGACAACAAAGAATGAAATTTCACAGTGATCAGTAAGCAAAACTTTTCATGGGTTATGAGTGCCTCGACGGCTCTGATTATCTGTGTCAGACAGGACAGGTCCATTAACTGCACTGCACTCCTCTAATGGATCTGCCACTGACTGCATGATATCATAAATTAGGACTGATGTTCCAGTTCGTTTTCTATGAAGCTCATACTGTGCATGCGAATGTGCAGACCAGCAACTGACCCTGAAATATTCTGACACCATATGATCCTGAATAAAACTCATCCATCTCACACACTAGAAGCACCACAGTTTTTAGTCCACTTTTCAACAACTATTTTCTTTCTTCTGTTTTTGAAAGAATTACGAACTAGCCTAAAAAGATACAGCATTTATTTGAAGCAAGAGCATGTACTCAATTTAATAATGGAAATAACTACAATTTGATCACAGTGATTCTCTTTTCCATTTGTTAAGTGTGACGTCACGTGAAGCGGCTTCCGGGTCCAAGCGCTCTATCAAACTGTATAGAGTAACTCAACAAATGGTAATAATAAACGTTTAAGAAGCGATGTATTACTTTAGAAAATCACGATCACACTATATATCCATGCCTAACATCAATTCATTTTTTATAAAATGTTAGACATTACGCTAGAGAATCATTCAAACACTAGCTCTAAAGTGACATTTGTGAAGTAGCATCGGTTTCTGCTGTTCTGATGTCAGCTGCAGATGTGAATGACTGGCAGAAGAAAGTACAGTAGTTCCTCTTACAAGAGGATTTTTAGACTCTCCGTGTTTAATTGTCTTTTTTATATACACGATTATGCCGTCGAACTGTCGAATAAACGCAATATTACACTGTTAGCAGTGTGATATGACTGTATATCGTCACTGGTGGGACAATCATCACAGTGCGATATGAATGTATATGGTCACTGCTGCGGCCTTGTGTCAATGCACGCCTCCCACCAGTACCGATATACAGCCATATCACACTGTGACTCTTCCCACCAGTGCCGATATACAGTCATATCGCACTTCTACGAGTGTGATACTGCTAATATATAAAATTTACTTTAATGTGTGATATGACTAAAAGTGATCATAAAGGAATATTTTCTCAATTCAAGTGAGAAGCAGCTTGGATCCAGAACCAATATTCCATATGTCACAACTTAATAAGTGGATAGGAAAAGATTTTCTGTGCAGAACTTGGGTATTGTAGTGTTTCAACATTAATTTAATTCAGGCAAATGTTTACTGGAGATTATTGAAGTTTTCACCATATTAAAAATAATGAGGAATGGTATGTTTTTTATTAAATATAGAAAAAATACTAAAGATATTATTGTTGAAAGTAGTGAAGTAAAATTTTCTCAAAATATAAAAAAATAATACAGTATGTTAAATACTGACGTATTTACAACGTATTGTTACAATTTTTTGTAACAACAGAATTTTCTCTTTAAAAATGTTTTATCGGAAATTAATAAAAATTCAAGTAAAACTACAAAAAAATCTAACAGGAATCATTGATTCCAGAGATCCATCAACATCTTAAAAGTGAACTGAACGTCTCTGGAGCATTTTGAATTCCATCAGCACATGAACATGTGACAGTTCCTTTTTTTCACCCTTGCATGTTTTTGTCAGGGTTGTTTGACATTGACATCTTTGAAACTTTATACTTAAAGTGGAGATGAAGAGCATGTTTATAACCACCACAGACATTTAGAGGCAAACATGGCCCTCAATGTTCAGTTTACTGTCATTCATATTTTGGAGTAGAAATCTGGGATTCAGATGCCCTTTGGAGTGCAGTACTTTTCATCTTCTTCTTTTCAACTTTTTGAAACAGCCATTAGGCATTTCCTCCACTTAACTAAATAATATATTTATGTAATTTTGTTTGTGCTCCCAGAAATGTTGCCTCACTTATACTGCGTACTGATGGCACTGAAGGGATTTGTGGCCCTCATTGCTGAATACCATAATACATATTCATGAATTTTAAAAAAGTCAATCGTGCAAATACTGATGCTAAGGAATTCTTGTGATTTTTTGTCATTGGGTCTAAAAACTAAGTGCATCTTATAAATATTGTGCATGTTTGCTGTGTGAAATGTTGAATCTTCTAAAGGGTAGTGTAACATTGGAATAGGCTAGATATCTGTCTAAATGCACGGTCTGCCAAATTACAGCAGATTTGCATTTCACACTTGTAAGTGGGCAGCATGTCACATCACACAACTCTGAAGCACAAACCACTAAATGAAAAAAGACAAAATATGAAGTGGCTGTTCACATAATTTGGCATTCCACCATGATCCTTTTCCATAGTTTTTTTGTAAACATGCACTAGATGTTTAACTGTTACACTTGCATCGATCATATTTTGCAGTGATTGAAAAACACTTAACTCATGTCAGTCATTTAACAACACTACATGCTTTCAGTCTAATACTCTGATGATGACTAGACATGAAGTGGCAGTTACTTATAGTCAACAGAATGTGTTAAATGGATAGTTGCAAATTTAATCACCCTTAAGAGGTTTCAAACCTTCTTACTCTTTTTTTTTTTTTCTTGAACACAAAAAAACATTTTAAAGAAAGCTAAAAACCTGCAACCACAATTATTGTGGACGTCAATGAAGTGCTACTGCACCTTATGTCAGCACACTAACCACTAGGCTATTGCACCGACGTAATGTTTTCAGTTTTGTGTGAACTTTACCTTTAATTGGACTATCAAGTGTTGGTATTGAAGAATTCTAACTTTATCATAACAGAGAAACTTTTTCCAAAATAAAAAAAATAAAATAAATAAAAAAAATAAAAACTGTAATATTGTGAACAATTTAAAAATAGTATCTTGCTTTTATTTAATTATTCTAAAAATGAGTCTATAGCTATAGAAGCTTCCAGTGTAAATAAAGTGACAAGTGACAACACAAAATAAATATGTAAAAAAAAAAGGATAAACATTAAACAGAGATGCAGTTAGTCAAAAAATCTGGATGTTGAATTGTATGTAAAGATTTGTTATAAATATACAGGTTATAAGGTGCTGTGTACAAATGCCAATGGAGAAAGTATTGCATTGTGAATTGATGTAAGGTTCTGTCTACAAGTGTGTATGATAAAGTATTGCACATGTTTATTGCACAGTAGGAGGATATTTAACTGTTCATGAGGTAGACTGCCTGAGGAAAGAAACCCCTCCTGTGTCTGGCTGTTTTTGTGCTTGGTGCTCTGTAGCGCCGACCAGATGGCAACAGTCCGAACAGGTAGTGTGCTGGGTGTGAGGCGTTCAGAGTTATTTTGCGAGCCCTTTTACTCACTCTGGAAGAGTACAGTTCTTGAAGTGTAGGAAGGGTAGTGCCAGTGATTTGTTTAGCAGTCCGAACTATATCCGAATATAAACTAGGTCAGTTAAATCTTTTAATAAAAAAATATACCACCTCCCATTACTACTTTTCCAGTAATTTCTAAAAATACGCACACTGTAAATATCAATACTTAATATTCCTCAGCTATTCCGGGACTGCCCTCACAAATGAGACAGTGGTACTATTAGGCTGCCAGTGACTCCACGATCAAGAATGTTCTTGAGGGGTTTTTTCAGCTTTGTGAGGTGACTAAGTCATGTAGGCTGCCTGACCTCATAAGGGAAGTGGACCTCGAGTCGAGCGCTGCCAGGTCACAACACTTGGAGCAGTCGTGAGACAGACAGTAATAATTTGCTTGCTCTATATTTGTCCAGCAGGAAGGCCGTAACAGCTGAGAGGGCTAAACCTGAGCATGCGAGAATGTGACGCACTCTAAACTGTTTTGATATGTGGCTCTATTGTGAACACATTCAGTATAAACAGATGCCTTTTCCTGACCCAAGCCATTTCATTAACTCTATTCCCTCCAAAGCCACACTGACAGCCAGAAATTCCACCAATGCTGCGCAGCTTGGGAAAAAGCAAAAATAAAAGCAAACTTGTCAAAGTAGGTTGGTCTGAAAGCTGTTGTCATAAAATGTTCATCTAATAGATCTGTGGATTGCTTTTGGTTATTGGCCAGCCTTTTAAGGGAACGAATAAACAAAGACTTTGAACTTAGCGTGTATAAAAGCTCTGTGTCTGTCAGATTCTGCAGACTGAAGCGTTTTCAGAGGTAAGCCACAAAGTAAATCATTTATTCTATGGTTTGCAAATGTTAGCGTTGATATTTTCCCCATCTACAAATGAAATACTGAAATAATTAGTTTAATTTAAACTGAGTGAAAATTCAGAAAGGAGGAAAACTATAATCACTGCATTGATAAAAGATCAGGCTATTATATGATGTTATTTTGGTACTGTATCGAGTATTATTTTGTGTTTAATGATGACAAGATTTAAATTTGAATCACTTTAATAGAGAATTATATAAGAAGTAGATTTTTATTGTGTAAATGTATTTTAATGGTTAAATTTGTAATTTTTAGTTATCCGGCTAGCATACTAAATGTTTGTGCTAATAAGTTACTACATTTTTACTACAAAAATTTAGACAAAGAAAATGCTAATGTAGAATGAATAGTATAATGTATTTGTAATTATCTTCCCTCTAAGCTACCTTTAGCTTTGTCTAAATTTCACCATCACTGTCTGCTTGCTTGGAAGCTTGGTTGTGTTCACAATTTTTCTCCCCTCCGATTTTTCTTATGGAATTCCTGAGAAATTACAATCAGAAACAAATCATTATTTGTCCAAAGGTGGTTTCAAAATAATAATAATTGTATCTCTTGCTTGTTTGATGATGCTGAAAATATTGTTTCGTATGAACAGTTTATAACATAGCACAGTTTCCCAACTCCTCCTAAGGATTTTAATAAAGCGGTTAAAGCAATATCACTCGGTTTAGTTCAGATTTCAGATTCAGATTCAGATTTAACCCAAGGAGCTCAGTGAATACTCATTCTCCTTTGCTTTTAGAAGGTGTTAGTCTGTTAGATAAGAAATGTAACAATAGGCTTGTGTGTCACATTTTTTTCAATTTAAAAGGAAAATTTCCTCTAGAGGAAAGTTTTACTTGAGGTCCTTGGTTGAGGATATAGACTGGATTAGAACCTGGCTTTCACCAGGGAAAAACTGCATTTCCTACAAGGCAAACGAATTACATTTTAAAATTTTACATACAATTTATCCGGTAAATTATAGTATTTCAACATTTTTGGACATCAAACAGCTCCTTTTCTTTCTGCAAACAAGCAGAGGAGACATGAGCACATATGTTTTTAGATTGTCCAATATCCAAACAATTTTGGTCACTCCTAACTTTCTAATGGTATGTTATTTGTATGTGATTATATTTTTTCTTATGACTACGTATATTATTGACCTTTTAAAAGATCTGTCTGTGATTCCTTGGACTTTGTTCTGATGTTCTTAAATTTTTAGATCAAGCAATAAAAAAAGTATCATGCATTTATCAGACTACCTTTTTAGTCAGCCAACTTTTTGTTATCAGCACTGAAATGACCATAAAATTAAAAGGCCATTCACAACAATAACTACAATAACTGTATTATCATCTACACATAGAAATAATGATGTTTTGTTTAAAATAAACACATTAGTTTACCATTTGCAAGATTAAAAGTAAGTTCTTTAAAGCAGAATTTCTATTGTTCATTAAATGGGAAAAAGAAAAGTTCTTAAAGAGATTTTTTTTGTGTGTAAATTTCCAAAATTAATCTTTCCATCAAAGATTCCAATAACATTGTTCCTTTATGTCATGCCTGTTATAGTTGGCAGTTTTTTTATATTTATATTAGGATTAGTGTTACTGTTATAATCTCTAACCATAGTGTTAAGGAGTCTATAAATATAGTATTTTGTCTCATCTTCAAATTATTATAATTTATTTTTTCATTTGGGCAGGAAAACGTGCACTAATAAACCATGACAGCAACAATCACTCTCTCCACTGGTCAGAGGATGCCAACGGTGGGATTAGGAACATGGAAAAGTGCCCCAGGACAGGTGTGTGTAGCCCTTCCCACCCCATTATATGACAATCCAAACATGAGCTGATACAAATTAAATACAGACCCATACAATAATAATGATCATCTTTGTACAATAATTAAAGAAATGTTTACATATGATCACATGTGAACTGGATTGACTCTCTGGCTGCAGGTGAAGCAGGCTGTACTGGCAGCTTTAGACTGTGGCTACAGACACATTGACTGTGCGGCAGCTTACAGCAACGAGCGTGAGGTTGGAGAGGCTCTCACTGAAAGACTAGGACCAGGAAAGGTACAGTATGAACCACTTAAAGCCAATATAGGCAGAAATGCATCTTACCATTGTGTCACACAGCCTTTATGCCTCTATAGTCTCTGAGACGAGATGACATTTTTGTGACCTCCAAGTTGTGGAACACCAAGCACCATCCAGATGATGTGGAGGAGGCCTGCAGGCGCTCTCTGTCGGACCTGAGGCTGAGTTATCTGGACCTCTACCTCATTCACTGGCCAATGGCCTTTGGGTGAGTTGTCCTTTAAGAGCTAGTTCTTGGGTAATAGAGAATTTTTTACGAATTACACCAACGTTTTTACAAATAAATGTGTTAGAAAGATGACTTTTATGCTCATAAAAGCCATATGTATTTGATCAAAATACAGTAAAACAGAAATATTGCAAATATTGTATTATATACACAGTCAAGCCCAGGGGTATAATTAAATGTGTGCTTGACTGTATATATATACACACACAAACACACACACAAACACCGGCCACTTTATTCGGTACACAGTACACAGCAAATTCATTGGTGTTAAATTTCAAGTGTTGTGGTAATTCAGAGTAAAGTGTTAAAATTCTAGAGTTAGATAAAGGTAAAATAACCCTCTCAGCGTTACAAGTTGATTTGCCTCCTTGTCATACAGAGTAACATATAAGAAGAAAACCCTTGTATTTGAGAAACTAATCAGAGTGTCTGAAATCTCGCCACATCCTCATTCACCTGACCCTTAAATTGGTCAATTAGTTTAGTCCACTAGACAGAGTAAATGACCACAAATAAGTGAATTCAGACACCTGCTGTTGAACACCTGCTGTTAACAAGCACAATCACTGAAGGAATAAGAAATTGAAGGAAGAAATAAATCTACAGACACAGCCTCACACCAAACCAGCTGAATTAAAACAGAGGATTAAACAACTCCATTAAATAACAGCATCAGCAGCTTCACTGATTACAGTTTGACTTAATTTCTGTAAGAATATTTGACAATGAACAGAGGTTATATTTTTATTATTAAAAATATTTCATTTGACCTCACCATCATAGAGATCAGAGGCTGCTCATTTGAGTTCTTGAAGCTTTACGCTTAAATCCTAATGTTTCTCTGACTGCTATAGCCGTGTTTCTAAAACTCATTAGCTATAGTAAGAAAGGTCAAGAGAAACTACACTGTTTATGCTTAATTGTTATAGATTTAATTTCAGGTGTTTATTAAGTTGATTCATAATAATATGCAAATATAGTTGTATTAAAGCTGCATGGGACAATACTACTGACAGTTTGCTGCTCTTCAAAGAAAATTCAACAAACAATTAGGATGCAATTAATAATTAGAGTGTCATGCACTAAACATTCAAGCTCCAGCTTGCTCTTTATAACACACAGGCATCAAGAATCAGGACATGAACCTCAACCGTGGTTGCTGAAAAAAAAAATAAAAAAAGCTGCATAGTTCATGCCGCAATGCATGCTGGGTGCCAGCATAGTACAAAGCTCCCAGCATGCATTGCAGCATGAATAAATTATGCAGCTTTATGTTCTTACAATCTCTTTATTTTCCTTTATTTTGTGTTGTTTTTGGGAGGTGATATTTCAGTAGTGTTTTTTTTTTACTTGATTTTTATTTTTTTGTTTGTCACCATCATTGAGATTCAAAGACTAATTATTGATGTCTGTGTGTTTAAAGTTCTGCCATAGATCAAACATTCTCATTGTAAATATTTTTTTTATTTTATTGGAGCTTCAGTGGTTTCATTTATGTATATTATTTATTTCTCACACATAACTAATATGATATTGAATTAGAAAACAAGCAGGAAAGGAAGGCTATGTTATCAATAATAATCACTTCAGACTGACACTTTAATTTTCTTTCAGCTTTCCATGCTTTATGTTTAAATAGTGTAATTAACACTAACTACAGCAGCCAAAATAAAACACATTTATAGCAAGCAGTTGAAGAGGCTGACTAAAGCAGACTCTGTCCTCCATCATGGTGACTTCAAATGAACAACAGAAATTTCATTAAGAGCTTTTGTTCACATGACAGAAATAAAGTCACTGGTCAGTAATAGGTGAAGCTCCATGATAAGTTGTTTAATTTGATGAGTTTTTTTTAAAGATGTTGAAAAATAAGATTTTTTATTGTGTAATTTGTTTTATTTTTATTGATTATTATTTTATTTAGTTTTTTTTTTCTCAGTTGATTTCATCTTTGGTTTTGGCTTGTGTTTTTCTGTCCTTCAGTGATTCTGCTTGTTAACAGTTGTTCATCAACAATTCTCAATCCTCCTTTAATTAGACACTTAATTGTCTCATTAACTTCATCACTGTCTAAGTGTTCAGCCCTCTGTAGTGAGGACACTAGTGAGGATTTTGCTCTGGAATTTAAGGCTTACGTGTGTTCGAATGAAAAATACAGACAATGGGATTTGTTTTTAACAGAAATATTCTGGAAACTGAATTTACGAATGTAAAATGTTGAAAACAGCAGATTACTGGCAACCACTGCTGCCAGTATTTTGACATACATTTAACAGATATTTTACACAATAAGAGTTTGCTAATTAACACTCTGGGTGTTAAAAATTTGAACACTTTCAAAAATGTTATTTTAACACTTATAGGGGTTCCCATATAAACACTGAGGGAGTGTTAATTTTAACTCTAAGGTAGTTAGATCTACCAAATCTAAAATTTGCAGTGTGAGGTCGATAAAAAATACAGACTGTTGAATGTGCTTTTAACAGAAATATTCTGTAAACTGAATTTATGAATGTTAAAAACAGCAGATTACTGGCAACCACAGCTGCTGGTATTTTTCCGTAAAATCTAAAAATGAAAAAAAAGAAAGAAAAACAGCAAAACGGTTTTTGTGTCACCATTGTGGAGGATAATAGCGTCTCTGTTCAAGTCCAAGATGAACTGAGAAAATTTGTGTTATGCTGCATCTTCTTTTGTTTAAAGGTAACTGTGTAGTTACTAATGCTGTCAAAATCTGTTTGCTAATTGCAATCACACATGAAAACATTATTGCATCTAAAGACTTTACATTTTTTGCACTAAGCTATGATTTTGTAAAATGAACAATGTATTATTTCATGAAATATGGTTATTTTTTGTAAATTTATACAGTTATATAAAACTTCCATGTTTTTCACAAAAAGATTCTGGCAACCACAGCTGCTGGTATTTTTTCGGAAATTGAACAGATATTTTACACAACAAGAGTTTGCTAATTAACACTCTCTTGGTGTTGACAATGTTAACACTTTCAAAAGTGTTATTTTTAACACTTATAGTGGTTCCCATATAAACTCTGAGGCAGTGTTAATTTTAACTCCAAGGTAGTTAAATCTACTATCTAAAATTTGCTGTGTACTAAAAAAGGGGTTGGACCCCCCTCTTTGCCTTCATAGCTGCCATCATCCTTTGTGGCAAAGATTCAACAAGGTACTGGAAATATTTCACTGAGAAATATTTGGTCCATATTGACATGATAGCATCACGCAGTTGCAGTAGATTTGTCGGCTGCACATCCATGATGGGAATCTCCCACTCCACCACATACCAAATGTGCTCTATTGGATTGATTCTGGTGACTGTGGAGGCCATTTGAGTTCAGTGATAATTGTCATGTTTAAGAAACCAGTCTGAGATGATTCACACTTTATGACATGTCGAGTTATTTTGTTTGAAGAAGCCGTCAGAAGATGTGATCATAAGAGGATGGACATGGTCAACAACTATGCTCAGGTAGGTGTTTATGCTCAATTGGTACTATTGGGCCCAAAGTGTGCCAAGAAAATATACCCCCCAACATTACACCACCAGCAGCCTGAACCAATGATACAAGGCAGGAGGGATCCATGCTTTCATGGTTTTCATCCAAATTCTGATCCTACCATCTGATTGTCACAGCAGAAATCAAGACTCATCAGACCAGGCAATGTTTCTCCAATCTTCTATTGTCCAATTTTGGTGAACCTGTGCGAATTGTAGCCTCAGTATCCTGTTCTTAGCTGACAGGAGTGGCACCCAGTGTGGTCTTCTGCTGCTGTAGCCCATCCGTTTAAAGGTTGGACATGTTGTTCTTTCAGAGATGCTCTTCTGTATGCATCAGTTGTAACGAGTGGTTATATGAGTTTGTTGCCTTTTTATCAGCTCAAACCAGTCTGGCCATTCTCCTCTGACCTCTGGCATCAACAAGACATTTGTGCACACAGAACTGCTGCTCACTGGATATTTGACCTTTTTCGAACCATTCTCTGTGAACTCTAGAGATGTTCGTGCGTCAAAATCCCAGTAGATCAGCAGTTTCTAAAGTACTCAGACCAGCCCGTCTGGCACCAACAAACATGCCATGTTCAAAGTCACTTAAATCACCTTTCTTCCTTATTTTGACACTCGGTTTGAACTGCAGCAGATCGTCTTGACCATGTCTACATGCCTACATGCATTGAAGTGCTGCCATGTGATTGGCTGGTTAGAAATTTGCGTTAACGAGTAGTGGCCAGTGAATATGTGAGTACATATTTATTTTATATATATATATATATATATATATATATATATATATATATATATATATATATATATATATATATATATATATATATATACATATACAACTACATACACACATACATATAATTTTTACTTGTAATTTACTATTATTCAAAGTTGAGTTTTAGTGTTGCATGAAGCATTAGAAACATGCGTCTGCACAGAAATATGCAGAATATGCTAATTTGTACAGAGAAAATATTGATTATCATCAACGCTGAAAACAGCTGTTGCATATTGTTTTGTGATACTATTTCTCAAGTTCTAAAATTTAATCTTTACAGTACCTGTTGGTCAGTTTAATACACCTTGATAAATAAAAGTATGTTTTAATTTAAATAACCCCAAGCCTTTAAACATTACTGTGGTGAATGAATATAAATATAATAATGCAAATAAGCTGATACTGATTATTTAAGGGACAAAACGTGGGCATTATTTAATCTGAAAGCACATTCATCACATGAAACGTTTATAGTGGTACTGTTTGCACCAAGTGATAAATGCCTGTTCACAAATGGACAACTCCAGTGTTTTTCAAAACTTCCAGGAGAGGAGATGAGCTGATACCCCGGCATCCTGATGGTACTATTCAGTATGATGACACTCACTACAGAGACACTTGGGCAGCCATGGAGAAGCTGGTTGACCAAGGGCTGGCAAAAGCCATTGGCTTGTCAAACTTCAACGCCAAACAGATTGATGACATTCTCAGCATTGCCAAACACAAGCCAGTGGTCAATCAGGTATGAAGCAGACAGTGACTGGACTGTAGGCATGGGACAATCTGTTTTCAAGATATACCACGGTTTGGAAAGGTCAAAATTTCTCATTTCAAACTGTCAAAATTTTCTGCAATACCATTCCTAAGGTATGTGTACTTTTTTTATTAACTTTTTTAAGGACAACAGTATCTCCAGCAGAAAAGATCTCCAAAGATGCCATTTAATATATATATATATATATATATATATATATATATATATATATATATATATATATATATATATATATATATATATATGTTTTTGAATTAAATGAAGACAGCAGAAGTCAATAACTCATTTTCATTATTTAGCCTGACATGTTTTCTTTTCTAAAATATTTTAAATGTTTCTCAAAATAAAATCTATTGTGTTCAAAAGGGAAAAAAAAGTTTTTGTTTTTTAACAAGACATTTAAAAACAGTATATTTTAGAACAGTAATCACAATACCGCAAATTTTTAACCAAGGTTATAATATTGTTAGAATCTTGTACCGGCCCAAGCCTACTGTCCTTGTTTTAATTTGCCATGGACAGTTATAAAAAGGCATTTGATGACATGCATACGGACTTAATCTATGTGGCTATATTGCATGCAAATCTCTTTCTTTAATTTTTTTCTTTCCATTTTAAGTAATCTGTTTCTTAAATAAGTATTTGTAAATAAATATTTTTATATCATTTACAGGTGGAGTGCCATCCATACCTGGTGCAGGCTGAGCTGGTGTCCCACTGCTGGAGTCGAAATCTGACAGTGACAGCCTACAGTCCTCTGGGGTCTCCTGATCGTCCATGGGTTACACCAGGAGAAGCTTTACTTCTGGATGATCCAAGAGTGGTTGGAATAGCCAAGAGCTATAACAAGACCCCTGCGCAGGTCATCATCAGGTGAGATCTGTGTACACATCCAAAATTAGGCCCACATTTACCTTTAAAGTTTGAGTATTACTATTAGTGCATTCTAGAGTATATTGATTGTGAAATTGTGAATTTGTTTTTTGTTTCCCAGATGGCACATTCAGAGAGGCGTCGTTTGCATCCCTAAAAGCGTCACTCCATCAAGGATCAAACAGAACATTGAAGTAGGTTGGATTCTCTCCCCCCAAGTTTCTTCCCTATCTTAAAAAGCAGACACATGTATAAGACTGTAAGACTTTATTTGCATAAAGTCAACCATTTTAAAATTGACACATTTAGTTACTTTCTTTAGGCTGCCATCATTCCCACAAATTACCAAAGTGACTGCATAGAAATGCATAGGACTGCATATTATTCATTTTCTTTTCAGCTTAGTCCCTTTATTATTCAGGGGTCACCACAGCGGAATGAACTGTCAACATATCCAGCACATGTTTTACTTCCAGCCGCAACCCAACACTGGGAAACACCCATACTCTGACATTTACACTACGGCCAATTTAGCTTTTTCAATACATCTATAGCACATGTCTTTGCACTGTGCAGGAAACCGGAGCACCAGGAGGAATCCCACGCCACCACGATCAGAACAAGCAAACTAACTGACCCAGCCTGTAAGGCGATCGTGCTACCCACTGCGCCACTGTGACGCCCTGCATAGTCATTTACGTGAACTGTGGCCATATACATAAACACAAACTACCTCTTTGAAATTGACTCGTGTGCTGTCACGTCATTCATCTTTAAGTTATTTACAATACAGACTACGATTTAAACAAAATATTTACACCTAGGCCTACAGTTAATATGATTCCACCTTGAATCTGTGAATCTCTACTAGTCCTATGTAAACTTTTGCAAGCAGTCTATTAAACCACAGTGAAACATTCAGCATTGACCAACGTACATTGGTCGAAAAATGATGATTTATCACAAACAAATCCAGCAGAAACACCAGCACAATCTTAAACGTTCAACAATTACAGAAATTGCTAATGTTACCTGAACCTCATGTCAACAACTAGTCTTCTATCCTCGCGCGAACGTCATGCTCAACGGTTGAAATGGCGCCAACAAGCTCGCGTCCTGATGGTGAAGTTAAACCAATGACTGTAAATGCTAGGATGGTTTTTGTGACTTTTCTTTTGATTTTTTCGTTTTACCGTCAAGACCAGACGCAAACAATGATGTCAAAACTACGAAAATACAGAACTTTAAAAAGTCCAGCTTTTAAAATGTTCATACTGCCCACGATAACTCATTTCAGCCCATGTAGATCCAGATCCACCTGAGCTCTCCAAGCACATTTCCAATGCCACGACAGGTGTTTGAACACCGATTGATGAGTCACGTCACCAAATCTTGGTTGAAATCATACCAGGAAGGGTTAAAGGGAAATGTAACCCAAAAATGATAATACGGGCCCATTTACTCTTCCTAAAGTGGTTGCAAAGTTTTTGTTTTTCTATCTTCTGTTGAGATATTTTGGAGAAAGTAGGGAAAATGGCTTTCTTTAGAACATCTTATTTTATGTTCAACAGAAAAAGAAAAACTCAAATGTTTGAAAACAGTAGGAGTAAAAACTTAAAGCTTGGGTGGTCCCTTTCATGCAAAGCCAGTAATTAAGCCTACTTAGAATGGCAATACGAGAGAACAGAGACATCTGGAGGACAGAAGCAGTAATGGGGAGAGTTAATTGGATAACTTATCCTGAAATTAAATGTTCCAAAAGTAATTTTGGTCAATATTCAAAGAATAGCGTTCCCTGTAATGTAATCTCATTTGTGTGATTTGAGTATGTGCTTCGTGACTGGTAAAGTCAAAAGAATATGGCATCAAGATTATTTAATATTTTAATGGCTCTTTTTTGCACACAGGTGTTTGATTTTAAACTATCCGATGAAGACATGAGGCTCATAGAATCATTCAACAGGAATGAGAGGTTTATCATTCCAACTGTAATAGTGAGTAATTCATTGCTAAACCAAGTTATATTACTGCATTGAAATGCGTGGTGACTAAAACAAATCTTATTGCCATTTCACAGAAAGACGGACAGAAGATTTGGAGAGATGCTAAACACCCTCATTTTCCCTTCATTGAGCCATATTGAAAACAGAGCCTTAATCCGAGCCATTATTAAAAACAAAATGGTGTTGCATTTTCATTAATAAATTTACAACTGAAAAAAGAGGCAATGTATGTGCAATTACTTAAAAAAAATAACAAAAATGACAAATTCACAACATCAGGTCCATTTCGTGAATTTTATTTAACATTTTTCAAACTTGTAATACATTATATGCTACATTCATAAAAAAATGAAGTCATTAGCAATTATTTTTTTCTTTTTTGTATTTTTTTAATCCTTCCAACGGCCTAGCAATAAACCCCACCACTAAAGCTGCTCATATAGCTTGTGAAAAGTTACTGAAATCACTATTGTGTATGGTTTTCACTGAAATTCACCCCCACCCACAGAATGTTAAGATCAAAGTTCTCAGAAATCATCCTTTCACAAACCAGAGCAAAACACAAGCAGCTACATGCTTTTCTCTATCAACAGAAGGGGGTGGACAGGAAGGGAACGAGGCGAATAAAAAACAGGGGGAATGGACATGAGAAGCGGAAAATAATAAGAAACAAAAAAGCACAGTCCTAAAAATGTGGAATTTTTTATTTTTTGTCTTTTGTACATGGCGGCCTTTATGAAGAGTGGCCTGTGAGGGTCAGCAACGTGGTCACATTTATCCGTAAAGATCATCATCGTTGTCCTCATTGAAGACGTTGCCGCCTCCACCACCAGAAGAGCCCTGACTTGGTCCACTTCCTCCTTGGTTACTGGATGGGAATCTGTGAAATAAATCATATAGGCCAATGGGAATCTTGGAAACAACCTGAACACCTATAAAGCCTTGTTCATCTAGAACAGGGGTCACCAAATTTGTTCCTGGAGGTCCGGTGCCCTGCAGGGCTTAGCTCCAACTTGCCTCAACACACCTGCCTGTGCGTTTAAGGTCTTACTAACCTAGTAAGACCTTGATTAGCTTGTTCAGGTGTGTTTGATAAGGGTTGTAGCTAAAATTTGCAGGACACCAGCCCTCCAGGAACAAGTTTGGTGATCCCTGATCTAGAACATGGGACTTAAACCCTAATCAAACATGTGATCTAGTAGTTTTAGTAGTCTTGAACATCTTGATTAGTTGGATCAGCTGCGTTTAAATAGGCTTGGAGCAAAACTCTGCAGAGCTGCGGCCCTCCAGGATTGAGACCTATAATCTAAATTCTAGAACAAGTGTCCAAATTCAGTCCTGGAGAACCGGTGTCTTGCATATTTTAGTTAACCCCAATTAAACACACCGGAACCAGCTAATCAAGCTCTTTCTATGTATACTAGAAGCTTCAAAGGAGGTGTGTTGAAGGAAGTTGGACCTAAACTATGCAGGACACCAGCCCTCGAGGATCAAATTTAGACATCCAAGTCCAAACTCTGTCCTGGAGGGCCGTGTTCCTGGAGAGTTTAGCTCCAACCCTAATCAAACAAACTTGAACCAGCTAATCAAGCTCTTACTAGATATACTAGAAACTTCCTGGCAAGCGTGTTGAAGCAAGTTGAAGCAAAACTCAGCAAGACACTGGCGCTCCAGGACAGAGTTTGGACACCCCTGATCTAGAACAGAACATTTTTCTTCACAACACAAAAGCGGTCATTTAACCCCATTAATGATCTCACCTGAAACTGCCAAAGCCTCTGCTCTGTTGCAGGGTCTGTGCAAACATCTCATATTTGCGGATGTCATTATCGCTGACTGAGCGGCGGGCAAAGCGCATGGCCTCCTCGAAATGGTCCTTCCTGATCTCAGGCACTGGGTCATCCTCTTCCACCTCCTGAATATACACAAGTCATGTTAGAAAATCTTAACATCCATGACAGTAAAAAATGCTTCAACCTTGATAATCAAGACATTGTAGTGTTACAGTAACAGCATAGTGCATTATGAAATTTGATCAATCAAAAAAAATAAAGCATTAGACCAGATAAAAGCATACCATTGCAGAAGGATTGGTCTGCCTCTCACGTTCCCGTCTGATCTCATTCTCAATGGACTCGCGGATGGCCAGTTTACAGGCTCTCTGGCAGATCTCAGTCAAGTCAGCACCTGAAAAGCCATTGGTCATCTTGGCCAAGAAGTCCAGGTCCACATCCTACATGGGAAAGAAAAAGAAGAAAATTTTAATATGGTTTAATTAAGTGACAAATCCATCAAGGCCCCCCCAAAAACAAATAAATTCACCCTCACCTTTGAGATTGGAGACTTCCTGAGGTTAGCTTTGAGAATGGCAATGCGAGACTTCTCGTCGGGCAGTGGGATGTAGATGAGTTGGTCCAAACGTCCAGGCCTGAGGATGGCAGGGTCAATGATGTCTGGTCTGTTGGTGGCCCCAATGATGAAGACGTTCTTCTTGCTGGACATTCCATCCATTTCTGTGAGGATCTGGTTAATGACTCTGTCAGCTGCGCCGCCACCATCACCAACATTTCCACCACGAGCCTTAGCAATGGAGTCCAATTCATCAAAGAAGAGCACACAAGGAGCAGCCTGACGAGCCTGGAGAAACAGAGAAATTGCAGAAATTCTTTAATTTACACATCTCTACAGGAGCTAACAAACAAAATGTTTAGACATTTAACCTTCAAAAGACTTAAAGGATCTTAAAGGAGTAAAAGGTCGCCTGGTATAACACATATAATGACATACCTTGTCAAAGATTTCACGGACATTCGCCTCTGATTCTCCAAACCACATAGTGAGCAGTTCTGGGCCCTTGATTGAGATGAAGTTGGCCTGGCACTCATTGGCGATGGCCTTGGCCAGAAGGGTTTTACCACAACCTGGTGGTCCATAGAACAGCACACCCTTGGATGGAGTCATGCCAAACTTGAGGAATTTGTCTGGATGCTCCACTGGGTACTAAAGATAAACGGGAGGGGAAGAATAAATACATAGGTGTAAATGCAGCTGTGTGCACATTGTACAAAACAACAAAAAACAGAATACAACTGCTCAGTACCTGCACCAGCTCCTGCAGCTCTCTCTTGACGTCATCAAGGCCACCGATATCCTCCCAGGTGATGTTAGGCACCTCCACAACAGTCTCTCTGAGGGCAGATGGGTTGCTCTGGCTAAGAGCCCACTGTTAGAAAGAAGTGACCGATAAAGTGTCTCAGTGCAACTTTCTCATAAATTTACTGGTCAGAATTATTGAGAGACCCTCTTATATATAGAGACCCTTACCCTAAAGTCATCCATTGTTACAGCCAAGGAGTTCATAACCTCTGCGTCAATGGTCTCGTCCTCCAAATCAATGAGGTCCATTTTCTTACGAATGGCTTGCAAGGCAGCCTCTGAGCAAAGGGCAGCCAGATCAGCACCAACATGACCATGGGTCTCATTAGCCACCTGTACACAAATAATGAATGTTTATACACAAGTTAATTAAAATAATGTTAACAACAACATGTTTGCTGTACATTCATATTTTAGATGGTACTAGCCACATTGATGGCACCCTGAATAAGAGTTATTAAAGTTGACCAAGCATGCATTTACATGACAATAGTAAAAATGAAAGTTCCTCCTTTAACAAATGATACCATGTATCCATCCACAAAACAACTTTAAGATGTACTACGCATGGCAGGCCAACAGTTAGCAATGTCACTTTGTAAAGAAAAACACAAAGCTGTAGTTTGCCACTGCTGATTCAGCTTTCAAGGGCTTGCACATTCCTATAGCTTAAACGTGCAAAGGCAAGTGCATCCCATCCCTATTTTCCCAAAATCATGTTTTTTTTTTTTTTGTTTACACAGCACAAAAATTAGGGCACAATCCCATTCATTTAAATGAGAGCTGGTAACTTCCAGTAAAGTAACAAGAGTGAGAGTGACCATTGGTGGTAGGATGTAGTCATGGGAAGCATCACGAGATGCGTGACAAGTTCAGAAATGCTCTACTGTACACAAATGTGAAGCGACATGCACAAGCGATTACCAATGGGAGTGAAGTCACATGATTATTTTGCTGTAGTAGGGTGATGGTACTTTATTCAGCTGCTGCTCCTACACCAGAAGTACTTGCTGGTTCTTGCTGGGTTGATTTGTGTCCGAATTGTTTAGTGAACCAAGACAGACAGGAGTTTGGGCGCATGTATGCATTGGTTCTTTTTTCATGGTTGACTTCGAACACCTTTCTGTACCAACTCCCCTCAAATGTTTGTTTTTAGCAGCAAGAAAACAAATTCATTCTATACACAAGGGAGTCAACGACATTTACAAATGTAACTAGGCAACCGGTAATGGGAACGCCTATTAGTGTCCAAACCATCAACCACTGGAAAGAAGCAACAATAAAGTCTGACAGAATGAATGGGTCATTATACAAAAGATGAGGGGGAAAAAATAGCAGCAAATGAACTGCAAATCTGATATACAAAAAAAGGTTTAATATGGGGGGGGGGGGGTGTTTAAATTTTAAAATCCACTTGGCTCAAACCTCTGAGGGGGCAGATTTAAATGGCCATGACGCTTCTGTCAGTGGCTGATTAAAGAGACCCAGTTTAACTGAAAGTGAATCATCCCTGAGCACTGCACGTTCTGACATCCTCTCAAACGCACCTGCTCCAGATCAACATCATCAGCAAGCTTCATGTTCTTAGTGTGGATCTGAAGAATCTCAAGTCTTCCAGTTGCATCTGGAATGCCGATGTCCACCTCTCTGTCAAAGCGCCCTGAAATCAAGAAAATCAAAATTTTTGCGGTTATTCACTCAAATTGATTGAACAGCAACTGTTAATGTCAATGTAAATGTTCAAGTCTCTTTATGGAACAAAGTGGTCTCACCAAATCGCCTTAGAGCTGGGTCAATGCTGTTAGGTCTGTTAGTAGCCGCCATAACGATAACATGAGCCCTTTGCTTGAGTCCGTCCATCAGAGTGAGCAGCTGAGACACAATGCGCCTCTCCACCTCACCGTGAGTCTGAGAAACCAAAGAACAGTTACAGTCAAACATCCCGATCAGAGACTGCTCTGCAGCAGGGAAATAAAGCAGATCTATTTATGTGCCAGCTGACAAGCATTTTGAATGATTAGAATTTTTTAATTGGGTTTATTTTCTGCATAAAC